GTCCAACTGAAAATTACCCATGGTAATTAGAAACTGTGCTTGTTATCAAGTATTTGGATTTCAGCACCAAATCACCCTTCGTGTCCCTATTCTTGATGGCTGATCTATGTTTTGTAGACCTTTTTCTTTTGAGAGTAGAGGGTGCTGGAAGGACATTAAGGAACGAAGTAATTTTTCTTCTGGCAAAATTGTGCTCTTTTGTCTTGCCACATTAGTCTTAGATTGGTGTGTGAGATGCCAAGTGGTTTAGGAGTATTAGATTTTTTGTTTCTCAAGATGATTCTGGCCAGATAAGTGTCGGGAATACATTCTGCTTCTTCATATCTAGCTTACTTTCCTACTCTCTTCCTTGTTATCAATAGTAGAGAGAAACAGACAAGTATTAGAGATGGATAGATGTGGATAATTATAATTTTTATAATTTGGCCTGTATTCAAAAAAGTCAGCTATCTGCTGCTTACATCAACGGTCCAACGGTCTCTGCTGTTACTACATATAAGAGGGTTGGGTAGCTTGTTTCCAGCCTAGAGACTTAATGAGGATATTTACAAATGTCAACCAAAGTAATTCACTAGGTAAAACATCACAGCTGACCATTTTGTATGCCGAAAAAGGCTATTTTAAATCATCTCTTAGTGAACACTTTTGAAAATTTGGGAATAACAATCTCTTTGTTGTAGCAAGTGGGGACTGTCCTGCTCACTAGAGATGTTTAGCAGGCTTCTCTTCACTTGATGGAACCATCTCCCCACCTTTTGTTTTGATAATCAACAATATTTCTAGACATTGCCAACTGCTCTTTAAGTAGCCAATGTCCCCCATTGAGAATCAGTGATACAGGGGAATCCTGGGTGCTGTTTTCAGGGTAAGTGCAGACTCAGAGCCACCATGTATACATACAGCACAAGGAAACAGTGTCTGGTGATGTTCTTGCCTATTGAGCAAGTTGTGAGGATTTTTATTGTCTTTACACTGAATTGTAATCCACAGGAAAAGCTGCAGTCCTTGATCTGCAACCGCAAATACTTCAAGTCCTCCTGGTTTTCAGGAAGCAAGGGTGAGTCATGTGGATATTGAAGAATACTAATGAAACTTCTTCTAATCTTGAGGCTGTGTTCCTCTTCATACAGTATAGCTTCTTGGATTGTTTATTGTGTTAGGGTTCTCTAGAGAGATAAAACCAAATTCCTGAAAATATAATATATTCATTTATAAAGATAATTAGATATATAATGAGAAATGAACTGTTAAATCATATACAGATAAATATACAATACAAGAAATAAACAGTTAAATTAGAAAGCACTAAAATGACTTAGTGCAACTCACTCCATGAGAGAAAGTTGAGATACTACCAGTCCTTCAAGTCTCTGTCTGATGCCAGATCTT